ACAAATCAGTGATACTCCACTGTGCAAGGCCCTATCTGCACCAAGAACCTGATGAGGGGTGCCAAGAGACAGAATAGCTAAAGCACTGGACCACTGAGAGAAATCCCACTATTTATCTACAGTGTGGGATAACTGTGATAGCTGTAATTAGCACAATGTCCTGTGGATAATGGATTTTATTCACACCTGGTTTTTGACCCTGTAAAGTTAGAGGAAAAGCACCAGCAGCCCCCTTCTCCTGTCTTCTTTCTTGAAGTAGGGCTTATAACCAAGATTGTGTGGCTGGAATAACGCAGCTGTAGGCATCCTAGTTTACCTCTTTCTGCAGAATTGTGACAATGATGTTTCAGGAAAATATACAGAGAAGGAAAATATACAGAGAAGAAAAATAGTGCAAAACTAGACACTACAGAAAATATTCCCTTCAGACCAAGGTATAGTCACTGCAACAGAGAAATACTTTTTGCACTTTTCTACTCTAGCAACTGAGAACTCAGAAGGTAGGAACTTTCAGATATTAATTCAATCTTTTTTTCCTCTTCTTTTTTTTTTTCTTCTTTTTTCAAAAATGTATTTTTACAGATCATGAAAAAGGAGATAAAAAAGATAAATAAATGCCAGCTCTTTAAATGTCAAATGTACAAAACCCCTTCAAATAATATCTTAGGTATAACCTCTTCAGTTCAGTAAAGGATCTTGTTTTACACAGTTTTAACTGTATAGAAGTCTAGTTTTGAACAGTCTTAACAGGTAGATTTCTGACTGTGCATTTACTCAAATTGAGTTGAATCCTTTTTTCATGTGATTTTAAAACTCGTGAGCCAATACAAGTAGTGTAATTAAAGCTCCTTTTGTTCTGAAATTGCTGTAGCTAGCAATCTTCCTTTGTCCTCCAAAATTTCAGGGCAGCATTCCCTAGACACTACTGGAAAGTCTATATACAACTCAGTCTCAAAATGTAGTATAAGTCCATCATGTACTGTAATAGGAAGCATTAATGAATAAAGCTTTATGCAATGTCTTCTTGTGCAAAAGAAGTACAGATGCAAATTTGTCGGAGTACCACAGAAAATAAGTGAAGTTACTTCCTTGTTTCCTTTCTTTAGTTCCTTTTAAATTTACTGTTTTCTTCCCCTTCATGGTCAAAACATAATTGAAATACTGGCAGTAGTACATAAATTAACCCATAAGCAATACAATTTTTCCAGCTACTTAGTCAAGCTGACCATTAATGCCCAGAAAGATGTGAATTAATAGGGTTGTTCAGGAGTCAGAACTGACAAACCAGAAAGCTCTAAGGCTCAAATTCATTCGATCTGTCTTTGGGCAACCCTCTCAGCTACTGAAGTTCTGCATATGGGGGGCCTGAAATGCTCTGCAGAGTGCATCTGGCAATTTCAATGGATGAATAAACATCTGCCTCCCAGACATCTTCATTACCAAACAGAGAGCCTGGGGCAGCCAGACTCTGAATGTATGACTTAAGTTCTTAGAGATAGTTGGGACAAGTGTAATCCTAAATTTCCAGAACAAGAAAAATTACTGTGTTTATTTCTTAACCATGTAAGACTGACCTGACCTGAAGAAAACTTCTGCTAGAAAAGAGCCAGTAAACTCTGGGCAAGACCCAAAGATTTCAAAATTGTGACCATCTCACCATGCCATGGCCATGACTTTCCTTGGTTTCTTTGATTAAGAGACAAGATTTTTCATCCCTTCTCACTTTTAGAGACACATTTTACACAGCAAGGAACATCTATGCAATAGTCAGTTACACTTTATGTCTGAGCCCAGTGCCATGAAAGGCAGAAATTTTATAGCAGCAGCTCTCTTTCAGGAGGCACTGCTGAAGATGACAACAATGTGGCAGTTATAGTGGTGAAGGTCTCTTCATCTTGCTTGAGACTGACTCAATCCTTCCTTCATTTCCAGGACATCTAAAGCAATGATGGAAAATTACTGTCTTTTCTCATCCTGTCATCTTCCAATCCCATTGCTGCCTGTGCACGTTGTAACAGTAGAAAAAAGTAATTGTACTCACTAGAAATTTTTCAGGACAAAATGTTGCATGGCATTTTCCAAGACTGGCACAAATGGTGACATTCCCTTACAGGCACATAAACTGTTATTTACCCTGAACCCCAGAAATGCTACCAAATTACCAGAATTGAAGCTCTGCATTATTCAGTAAAAAACTAACCCTAAAATATGCGGTTATGTCTCTTCTACAAAACGTCTTGTTTGCCAAGAGCCTTTGGCTACATAAGGAGTGATAAGATCCAGTCTTTCTCTATAAACCTCAGTGTTTTCTTGGGGCTACAAAATACTGTCAAGAAAAAGCTTTTCCACACTTTTCATACCTTAGCAATAAGCTGCTTTGCATTTGCTTTTTGTTTTGACATGGGAAAGTCAGACGCATCATATTAATTTTCAGGCTAACACTCCTATGAGACCTTTGCCAGTATAACTCGGCATATGCTCAGCTTTATCCTAATAGAGCACAGTCTGGAGGCTTTAAGCTTTTGCTAATAATGATAATGATCTAACTTTTTATCCAAATATTTGTGTGGAGCCTATCTGAATACCTGAGCACTCCGTATAGACCTCTAGTGCCTTTAATTCAAATAATTCCTGTGATACTGTTTATATTTTTGCTTTTGTCTCACACTGCATACACACAGAAGTCTCTCTTACAATCCTGGCAGCCCTTCAACAAATCAAATTAAAGGAATTTGGGTTAAGATGATAACTGATACTTCAGGAAAATCAGCTGAGACTTGTAAAGGCTCTAAGGCTGGTAAAGTGCCTCCCACTCAGAATAAATCAGCATAACCTGGCCAACTTTATATTCCTTATGCCTTTTTTTTTTTCATCCTAAAGCTTAATGACATCAGACTGTGTTGAGTGATTAGCAAATTGTGAAGAAAGATGACATCTTTATGGCAAACATCTATATAAAGATATGCCAATTATTCAAATCACTGATTTTAAAGAGCAGCAGATTAAAGTCACAATATAAAGATAAGTTTAGGGATCAAAACACAGCCCAATACGATGTAATTAGCATTAAAATTCTCAGTAGTAAAAAAATAATACTAACTTTATTTCTCATTAAAAATATATATTTTAATTGCACTTAGTACACTTGTTATTTGGAAACATTATAACACCTGCATAAGCCACTTGCAAAATATAAAAAAAAAAGTAATCAAGTATAAACATTAATTTAATTAATTTAGAGATGAAATTCTGGAGCCACAATACATACATGGTACATTTACAATTAAAAAAAAAGAAAGTAATCAAAGATCTACTTGTTTTGTGCTAATGTACTGACAATACAAGAAATCCCAGTTCACACTAAGATGGGCGCTAAGAGAATGGCTATTAGTTTTCAGTATTTGAAGTACATTTCCCAAAGACTTCAAAAAGGCTTTCCTTAGAGTGAGGAGTGCTAAATAGGTCAGCAAATGGACATTCAAACCATTTCTGTAAGCCAGCCAGAAAACCCCACAGTGACTTCAGCAGACTTTAAATCAGGCCTTCAGATCTCAGCTATAACACATTTTCTGCATCTTTTCAATGAGCAATGATGGGTGTCTGTTCTGAAAGCTAAATGTATCTTTGTATTTTCTCTCACAAAAGATCAGAACCCTATAAGCGCCATCTGGGCTGCTTCTTTATGAATCTGTGCTTTATGCAGATACGGTCTTCAAACACAGACTGCAAAAATCCTATTGTAGCAGCAGACAGTGACTGGGATCCTTATCCAGGAGTCCTTTGAAACCAAAAGGAGCTGGATCAGGCCCTCCTTATGCTACGCATAATAAAATCATTGAACCTATTATGCCACTTTATACATACCATAATTGCATAGCTAATACCTTATGACAGCTTTCTGACATAAACTCTTACCTCCAAGGCATGCACCCATAGCCAGTGAGAATATTAATGGTTTCATAGGCAAGTTAACATCAGGATCTTTACTCAGGTTGAGAAGTACAGGAATCTGTGGTATAAGAAGAGAGAGAGATTCAGGAGACATCCAACCATCAGCATAATATAAATAAAATTCATTAAATAAAGCACCAGGAAGCCCAGAAATAACTTGCAGGTTTTTGAGTTTTTTTTGGTCTGGTGTTTTTTGTTTGTTTTTTTTTTTTTTAATTACTATCTTTGCTTAATTACTATCATATTCTTAATCAGCGCTTACTTTTCCCTGCTGACTGTGCTAGTCCCACAAGCCAAAGAGAAAGTATCGTCAATGTAAGGCCAAGCCTGACACAGGTACTGCGGACAAAACTGAGGCTCTCTTAAGATTATGAGTGTTTTCCATTAGATCCTTCTAGTTCAACAGGGAGCTAACAGTGACTATAAATCAGTTCCCCATCCATTTCTTGAAACCTATATCCCCTCTTGAAAACTATAAACCTTGAAACTTCTTGAAAACTATATCCCCTCTACTTGCTGGAGAGACATGCCCAGACCTTCACAATCAAGATGGCTGTAGACTATGTTTCAGTAACTAAAAAATTGACAAATCCTTGTTATAATCAAAAGTTAGGGAACTGTTAGGGAAAAAATGAATTCTTAAGCAGAGCTGATATTTACCAGAGAAAGTATATTTCAATCACTGGGAAATATTTGCAAATTTAATTAATATTATTTAGAAATAAAAGCAAAGCAAAGAGAAGAAAGGAGAAGAAAGGAAAAGAAAGGAGAAGAAAAGAAAAGAAAAGAAAAGAAAAGAAAAGAAAAGAAAAGAAAAGAAAAGAAAAGAATAGAAAAGAAAAGAAAATACTCCCTGAAATATCAAATGCCTTTTGTAGGGAGACATAATGGACTTCATTGGGCAATTGGTACAGAGCCCAAAAATACAGCAGGCAGGCTTTCTAGTAGCAACATATCTCAGTCAGAAACACACTTCAAAGCTAAACAACTTTCATCTTAGTTGCGAAAAAGTGGTTTGAGTTCAAATTAATTGTGTGACTCCTTGGTTTGAAAGAAAAGCATAATCAGTACCTGTAGAGAGAAGGTCATTAGCAAGGGGAGAGGTGATAATGTTATTAAACTGGTTTTGATGTGCACAGAGTTTTATGGGACCACAAGAATACACGAGACATCAAGCAGGAAGGGATTTGTGAAAATAACTGTGATATGCCTCAAAATCAGTGCTTTCTCAGAGTCCAGAATTTTCAGTAGTGAATAGAGTTAGGACTTTTAATCCTCCAATTTGTCATTTGAAAGTATTTCACAGGTCCCCCTCAAGGGGTATGATCTCAGAGATGGAACGTCTGCTTCCTGAAAAATGTTTTCACTTTGATGGCTGAGTGATGCTCACCTTTACTGACTGTGTATGTTCTTTTGGTATGGAGCAATATATAGGCTTTATGAAGAATTGAAAGCCTTTCCCCATCTCTTCTTCCAGTGGTGTTAATCATCCCTCTTAAATCCTCTAATTGATTAACCTAGATAAGTTAATGTCTAAACAATTATTCTGGAATTGTACATTGCCTGAAGATGTCTATTTCCATTTTAAGGCCTAAAGAAGGGTCTGCATGCCCAATATCCTGCCTGGGTTTTTTCCATTAAACAGTAATGAAAGATTTAATTTCTCCCCATTGTTTCTCTCAAACCATCACTGTTACAACATGATATGCAATTCAAACTGCAGTCATATGTATTTCAAAACAATGCTGTGTTTCAACATAACCCAAAATTTAAATACAAATACTGAAATCACAGGACAAGCCATCTTGCTCAATCAAAATAAAGCATTCTTTCCTACTACATCATTTTGTTGAGAGAATCAAAACCATTTATTTAGTTCCTCAGAATGATTTGCAAGTATCCTGATATACCACAGTAACCCACTTGTTGCAGGACACAATCTGAACCATGCAGACTAGCAACACCTTTTAAATTAGACTCCTCCTTGTGCTTGTCCTGCCCAGCACAGACAAGGTGGTTAGGCAGAGGAGATTAAAATGTTAATCCTATTTTCTGGCTTTGAGGTTGGTCCTGAAGCTGTTGCCAGCCAGCTCCCAAGCACAGAACAAGTAATACCATTTTCACAGTCTGCTGGTGAAAACCATGCAGGAAGCAAAGCCCTACAGCCCTCCAGAAGCCCCCTCCCTAATTACAGCACTGTGAAGGACAAGTTAAGGGAGAAGTAAAACAGAGATCACAGACAGGAATTCCATGAGGTGATTCTCTCCTAGGTATTTGCAGCCACTTATGCATAATATTCCCATCAGAATATTTGCTTCTCTGTTCAGTGAGGAGCTCAGCATCAGGAGCTTTCAGTGTCCTGTGAATCTCTACTGATGGAAGACACAGAAACCCCCTAAAAGAAAGTCACTGAACAAAGGTTTCAACTCACTGTGTCTTCTTTTAAACACAAAGATGCATTGCAATATACCAAGAGAAGGTGTAACTGTATAATGTGATTGAATCTCCCTTTCTTTTCTTTTTTTAAACCCCAAAAAAGTATTTTAGAACCCCAAATATGCACTTGACTCCCCTTGGTTTTATTGTTCTCTCCTTGAGAGAAGCAAAACCTTGCTTTTGTGGCAAGGGACAGACATTGAAACATGCCTTAGCAATACATATGTGTGTACACTTAAATTAGAATGTTTCCCCTATTTAAAGGAATTAATCTCTACCAAAGAATAATGGGTATAAGTCATATAGGGAATGGAAGTCCTACAGACCTCTGACACGTGCCTGAAGTTAGGTTTAAAGTGCATATATCCTTTGTAAATAACAGGTATTTCCAAAAAGTAATGCTGTGCCATGCTTCAGTTTTGAATAACGTATGAAAGATGAATGCAAAACACCCAGTTAAATTTCTGGTGTTTCAGATAGTAATATTAAACCGATTCATAAAGTACACTAATTTTTGCAACCATTATGGATTACTCTGTGTGACAACTGCATGCCACAGAGTTTCCAAAAGTCACTGGCATCTAATTCTTCTGATCTAAAAGCAGGCATAATGCAAACAGATTGTTCTAATTTTCATCCCAATAACCTTCCTTCTCCAGTAAAAAATGAAGGAGAAACTTGATCATCAGCCGGAACTCTTGAAGAGATATTGCAAAGCAATTAAAGCCAATGAGCTTTTCTCATTGCTTGAGCATTTGCATTTTAAATAGATAAGGATCATGCACAGGGCCAGTTACAAAGGAATCTGCATCTCTGTTTTTCTGCAAATTCACCTTTAACACTTTTTCGTCACATTCATTCATGCAATTATGTGTTAGGCAACAGTTTTGAACTGTCAGTATCTCAAACCTCAGCTGTTATAATTGACCTGAGTGCTAAAAACAGAAATGCAAAATACAAAAAGGGGTAGGAGGGAACTTTTCACTGTAGTTTTCAATGCTTTTGGGAAAAAAAAAAATTGGTTCTACAACTCTTTCTGATTCCAGCCATAACCATTAACAATAGCATCAAAAGCATTCCAACCTGGAATACTCTGCAAACTGGGGTATAGTTGGCTGTGATGCATACATTTGTATAAATATCTTTGTCCTGCTGGTTTAACTTTTCTTGAATGCAGATTTTCCCATGGTTTTACAAAGTGCTCCTCAACAGCAAAAAAAAAGCAAAAGTTAAAGTTTATGAAGTCTCATGTTTCCTTCATTATTGCCTCTTCAGACTATGTGAACAGCAACCTTATCAATATAAGAAGGAGAAATACAATGTCTTATGAGAAAAACAGCTTTACTTTCTTACACCCTTCATTTCAACAGTCTTACCAGGATAAATCTCGTTTGACTAGTTTCTTGAAAACTTGCTAATTTTGCTGAAAAGTTTGATATTGATGCACCCCCACACTGCTGCTTGATTGTCAGGATTTAGACAAAATGAGTGATGTAGCTCAATAAAGCAAAGCCATATCCCCCTTACCCACTCATTGTAAGACTATCTGTCTCCAGGTATTAAAATAGAAAAGCTCAGCTGTAAGAAATAATGATTGTACCTGGGAAAAGGAGAGTGCCCTCAAGGACTCAATACAGAAAGGAAAAAGCCATTCATCTTGATTCTGTATAAGGTGTTGTGTGTATTATATATACAGGATGTAAGCTAATGCAAAAGAACACTAGTGTCTACAGATGTTGGCACATTTGTCTATATAACGATCCTAATAAAAATCAACCCTTGTGAAGAAAATCTTTGTTTATAACATATACTATGGAAGTACATAGTTACAAATATAAAAAGAATAAAAGAGGAAATGTATGTCTTTTCACATATCAGGTGTGCAGTGCAGTAGAAAGCATCACATTATATTGCCCATTTTGTCTATTTGTGCAAAATGACAAAGAAACAGCAAATCACATCTTTATTTTGGAGATTCATTGCTGCTCTACACCATGGGATTTCATAGCATATGTTTTGCTAAGAACTGCATGGGGTGAAGATGTCTTCTGTGAAAACTGCGGAGATGGATAAAAAGTGAAATATCTCTGGTTTCCCAAATTATTGATGACTGATCTGTCTCTGCAGACAGACACTATCATGAAGCATTGAAATGAGGGACTCAGAAAACTCTTGTAGGGCAGAAGGCAAAGAAGATTCAAAAATAAAACACTAAGAACAGGAAATACATACAGAACATTCATACTGCAAATGACAAAAACCTGATAGTTTCAGAGGCAATAAATAGTGGGCCAAAAATTACCTGGTTTGTAACAAAGACCTGGCAGAGACTAGGTCTCCTTGCCAGCCAGGTGGTTAATGGAAACTGTTTATTACCTTATGTTGAGGAAATAGTATTTAAATGCAGCTAAAACAGGAAAATATTACAACTATATTTCTGGTAATATAAGAAAAATATAAACAGATGGCTCCAGCATATACAGCTGATAAAACATGTCAATTAAGCTAAAAAGCATACTGGTAATAAAATCATGTCATCTAATATTCTAAGGGCAGAAATCTGTGGCTACTTAAATTAGAATACTAGGAAAATGCAGGCCTTAAAAATGAGTAAGTGTGCCT